TCTTTCACCCAGTGATTAAAGAACTCACGTATGACCAGGTCAGTCTTCGCTTCAGCAGGCAAAGCCACGAAAACAGCGAATTTAGTGAATCTATCCACGATGACCATTACTTGCGTTTTCCCATTCCTACTCTTTACTTTAGTATCCATAAAGTCTATAGATACAGAATCCCCAGGTCCTGTTGGAATAGGCAAGGGCTTTAGCAATCCAAAAGGTGCTTGAGTAGTGCTTTTATTCCTTTGACACACCTGGCACCCTTGCACATAGGCAATACAATCARGTTTCATTCTAGGCCAAGTATAGGAACGCAACAACATCCCATAGGTCTTTTTCCAACCAAAATGGYCTTCAGTGTCATGGCACTCACCAAGAATCAAACTCTTGATTTCCTCAACATTGGGTATGCAAAGCCTATCATGCACGTCAGTCCTTTCAAACAACAGACCTTGTGTCATTCGGTAATTAGGAAATTCTGCAGGTGCTTCTTGAATTCGTTYGACTAAGGCACCATAGACTGAATCATTGGGATACGCAGCTTTAATTTTCTCCTGTACGTCGGCGCCTACTTCCAAATATGTTATAATTGCGCCAAAGAAATCGGAACGACGACTGAGTGCGTCAGCAACAACGTTATACTTACCCTTAACTGGCTTGAGCTCAAAATCATACAAGTCGATTTCAGCGGCCCACCTGGTCAACTTAGGTGTCATACGGGCCTGCGTTTTGAGCCAGCGCAATGTCTCATGGTCTGAGTAGACCTTGAAGTGTCTCCCCAGGAGATAGTGTCGCCAATGATTCAATGCTTCACGGAGAGCAAATAACTCCCTTTCGTACGTGGAAGCGGCGACTTTATCATTAGGCAACCAGCGAGACATAAACTCAACAGGCCGGTATCCATGCCCATCATCCTGTTGGAGTACGGCACCTATGCCTTATTGGCTTGCGTCGGTGGTAACAACAAAAGGCAACGAAGGGTCAGCAACCTTCAAAACCGAATAGTTAATCAGACTTTGCTTTAATCGTTTGAACGAAGAAGCACAACTTGAATCCCACTTCCAGATTGTCTCTTTTTTTAGTAGTCGGTGAAGGGGTGCAGCAATAATCGTAAAGTGTTTAACAAACTTACGATAATAATTAGCTAGCCCAAGGAACGACCGCAACTCTGTCAAAGTGCGGGGGTTCGGCCAATCTCTGATTGCCGCAATCTTTGTGTCCTCCGGTTTTACACCGTCTCCATCAATCACATGACCCAGATACAAAACTTGACGCTTAGCCCACTCACACTTCTTAGGGTTCAGTTTCAACTTAGCTTCACGCAATTTATTTAGCACAAGACGAAGATGCTCAGTGTGTTCCTCCTCATTTTTACTAAAAATTAAAATATCATCTAAATAAATCATGACGAACTTATCAAGCCAATCGCGAAAGAGTTCATTCATAGTTCTTTGGAAGGTTGCAGGGGCATTAGTCAGACCAAAGGGCAAAACCACAAATTCATAATGCCCATACCTTGTTCGAAAGGCTGTCTTATATTGGTCTTCCGGTTCTACCTCAATCTGATGGTAGCCGGATTTCAGATCAATCTTAGAAAAGATTTTGCAACCCTGCACACGATTCAGTAAGTCGTCGATTCTAGGCAATGGCTCAGCATTCTTTACAGTTATATCGTTTAGACGTCTATAGTCAATACACATGCGAACGCCGCCGTCCTTCTTAGGAACAAACAACACAGGCGCACCATAGGGCGAAGAGCTAGGTCTAATCCATCCTTTCTCCAGCAATTCATCAAGCTGAGTTCTCAGCTCGTCTAATTCCTGTGGCGACATTCGGTAGATAGGCCCCTTGGGAGGTGCATTCCCTGGAATTATATCAATGCGGTGGCGGATAGGCCGCTCARCAACACCGCTTGGGGCCTCGGCCACGTCAGCGAATTCTTTCAGAATTGCCTCAATTGCTTGGGATTTAGCCTCTTCTTTTGATTCCCCTTCTTTTACTGGGCGCACATATGCAACAAAAACTTGATCTTCCAAGTTATATCTTTTGACATGGCGAGCGAACGCTGGGGCACTCATACAACAATGAGCCAAGCTGCTTTCTTTCCCCGACTTGTGGTACAGACGAATCTTTTTCTTCTTTCTCTGTGAGCTAGGAAGCCAACACTCATGTTCTCTTAGCTTTAGGTCTGCACCAGCARCTTCACCCCAATCTGTGCCAAGTAGGACATCGAAAGGCAAGCCATCTTCCACCAAGAAAGTCAGAGAGTGGAGAACACGTTCCACCTTCCCCTCTGCTTCGAGCCGGAAGTACGCTTGTATTCCCTCAACGTACCTATCGATAGACATTACACTTCCATTAGCAACTCTGCTTATTATGGGCTCACTTAATTGCTTTATCTTCAACCCAAGAYGCAATTTYTTTAATCCTTTCTTACTTATATAGCWACGGGTAGACCCACTATCAATCAAAGCACCAACTCTTACTTTATTAATTTCTAGATCTGCAAGAATTAACTGCCCTTTGACTTTCTTCATTTCAGCCCAGGTTCGGCGACGACCGGTCAACTCATCACCTACACCTGCGAGGGAACCATCCAGAGAAACACACACACTAACTGTTTCTGGGCAGGACACTGGATGGGGACTGCCTTCCTCTTCAGTTTCTGCCATTGGGGCCTTCGAATGGGAGGATTCTGATTTTTCAACATTCGAAGCCCCTGTAGAGGCAACTGAGACCCCTACTGGCTGGTCCYTTTTGCTCCTTTGTACTCAGGACAATATGGGACTATGTGGTCGGGGTCGCCACACTTGAGACACTGGTAGGCATCTTTCCTTGCCTGCCACACTTCACGTGTAATACCCAACTGCTTCCATGGCTCTCCTTCCGAAAGGCCAGGATGCGGCGGGTACGGACGGTTCCAAGTGCCTCTTCCTCTTCCCCAGGTGTTAGAGTCTCGGCCACCTTGCGAGGGACCATTGCCCCTTCCACCCACGTAGTGGCTACCTTCACCACCACCCCTCTGGGTGCCTTGGCCTCTTCCACCTCGGCCACGACCTCCTCTTCCTCGGCCGCGCCCTCTTCCTTGACGCCCTCCCCCRCGGGCTACAACGTTCGCGTAACTCCCCTCCTGAGCTACCGAATCGTTGAAGTCCTCGAGACCATTATCAATTAAGTCCCAAGGGATCSCCTCCATGCCTCCTCCCTCAAAGGTCAGGAGGAGGCTTTCTCTTCCCGGAATAGACCCTGAAATGGTGCGATCACGCCATTTCCTTCCGGCCTGCAGATCTTTCCAATAATGACCATAGTTGGCTTCACTGAGGAAACCAGCATGATCGAGGGCAAGCTTACTAAGCTTTTCGTAAGTCATATCCTCTTTCTTAGTCTCTGCATACAATTGGGCTCTAAGGGGTTCTGGTAATGCACGTGCAAAGGAATTGAGTATTTGAGCAGGGGTTAGTCCATGATCAGGGGTTTGCTGAAGCAGCTCATCCATTGTTGCTTTCAGTGCTGAAGTGTTCTTCCACTTACGCTCATGCAGACTTAAGATCAGGGTTTCTGTTCGGCGTGCTATGTTCTTGTCCTCAAAGCGACCCCTAACAGACTTGAGGAAGTCCTCCAGACGAGTCTGCTGCGAGTATTCTATCATGGTACTACAGTTAGCAGCGTTCTGCAGGGATATCGCATAACTCATAGCATCTCCTTCCATGCATGAGGACGCCATTAAAACCCTGTCTGCATACGGGATTCGCTGCGCATAACAGTAAGATTCCACTGCAGCGATCCAATGCAAGACACTTTGGTCCTTCTTCCCTGTGTAGGACCATGGCAACTTCATTTTTATTTTAATCCCCTTGCTACTTTCTGGCTTTTCTTCTTCAGGCTCAACTTTCCCCTTGTCTTTCCTATCTTTCCTATCGTYGGGTTCATCTGCCTTAATGACTTTTGCGACAAACTCCGGTGTCAGTTTTTCCTCAATCTTTAGTCCAATTTGGTTTACATATCCTTGCACGTGAGAATCAATATCCTGAGCAGACTTTTGCAAAAAGGAGTTCCATGTTTTCTCAAAGTTCTGATGATGTTGTTCAAGTGCATAAACTGTAGTAGATAACTTTGAGACTTCATGCTGGGTCTGAAGAACAGAATTAGTGAGGATTTTGAATCGATCGGCAGCTGGAACTTCTTTCTCCTTTTGTTCCTTTAATGCCTGACGCAACTTCTCCCTCTCTTCTTTCATTCGGTTTCTCTCCTCTAGTTCAGCTCTTTTCTGTGCTAATAATCTACCTTTGAGTTCAGTCTCCTTCTCTTCTATTAGCAGAGCTCTCTCAGCATCAGTTCCTGCTGTTTGCAACGCAGTTTCAAAAGTCTCCCTTTCGTCTGCATTTTCGATGACCAAATMTGTGCGGTATCCGAAGGTCTGTATCCAACCTACACGGTCAAGACCTAGTCGGATACTTGATTCCCCCTTTTCATTACCTCTTCGCTTTCTTTCCAACTTCTCCGCCTCCTCATCTGGTTCCTCGTCTAGGGCCTGCAACTCTCTAGCCAAGTCGGCATCCATCTTCTCTTGCATCCTTTTCTTTAACTCTTTCTCTTCATCCTCTGCTCTTTTCCTTATTTCTTCGGCTTTCTGTTTCTTTTTTTATTCTTTTTCTTTCTTTTTCTCAATTTCCGCCTGTTCTGCAGGCGTGGGGCCCGG